ATAGTTTCTAACCTCAAGGATCAGTCATTCAAATGAAAAATCCAAATGCATTGTTAAAATGAATTAGTGGATTAAAGAAATATAAATTCAAAATATATAAATAAAAAATATAAATCAAAATGCCTGGAGATATCACTTTATATCTATTAGAATGGTCATATTAAACAGACAATAATTAACAGTAAGTCAGTGGCTTAAATGTGATCATGGTTCTGCAAGGTGATTCTTGCTAAAATATCTAAGCTTTTTGTTGTAACTGAAATCATTTTAAAAACATTTATAAAGCTGGAAATGATCACATGCTGTTTTTTTCATTGTCAACAGTGCTATGTCATTTTATGTATGTTCCCGATGCTTATGGAACTCTCCCAAAATAAAGTTATTCCAAAAGAGCAAAGAAAAAAAACCCCAGACAATAATAAGTGTTGATTAAGATGTGGAAAATTAGAACCTTCATACATTGCGAGCAGGAATGTAAATGATAGAGGGGCCTTAGGAAACAGTTTAGTAGTTTATTAAAAAGTTAATTTACCATAGGACTCAGAAATTTTACTTCTAGGTATCTACCCAAGAGAAATGAAAATATACATGCATATAAAGATTTGTACGTGAATGTTCATGGCAGCATTATTCTAATAGCCCCAAAGTGGAAACAACTAAATATCCATCAATTGTTGAATGGCTAAATAAAATAAAGTATGTTATGGAGTATTATTTTATGAGGTTTTTATGAACAATACTGCTACAGGCTGAGACTGAAGGCATGTACTATTACATCCCACTCAAATGTTTGGATTTTGAGATTCAAAAGTAAAGTCCTAGGGAGGGAGGAAAATGGCAGAATAATGATCAGCAGCAAAATTCAGCCTCTCTGAGATCTGGAATGCAGACACTGGAAAATAACAACTCAGCAAAGAAAAAAAGAGAAGTAGATTGCTGGGAATTGGAAAGGACTGACAAGAAAATTGGAAGCTACAGAGAAGTCGGAGAGATGGTCCACAATGCAGAGAAAACAAAACAAAACAAAACAATATGGACTCTTTCCCTAGCTTGCAGCTCACGGGGAGTGGAATCTGACTCCCTAGAAATAATGTTAGTGCCCAGGACTGTGAAACCTAGGGAGAAACAGTGGTGGAGCCCATGGCCTTTGTGAACTGGAAAAGTAGCATGGGGTTTTGATCCAAAGGGACTCCTTCCACATGGCAGGTTAACAGCTGGAGAGGAAATCCAGCCTGGGTGACCACCATATTGATAGAGAGTGCTCAGTTGGGTGCCATTTTGGGAAGGGTTGATTCAGGACTGAGAATTAACTGGGACTCAGAACAACTGAACAATAACTTCACTTCAGAGCTCCCAGAGTTTCCTTCTCACAGTGACTGGGTGAGAGACAGCCAGAGGAGACAGCTCTGGATGGGGAGTGGGCTAGAAAGAAATCCCCCTGAGAAATCTAAGCTCAGGCCAGGAAGGCCATGTTGAATACCCCATGGTGAAAAGTGGGGTCTGGTTGTGTTGAACTCAGAAATGGCTGAGTTTGAAAGAACCAGTATTAAATATTTGAACCCTTGCCCTGCTGCCTACATCCAGCATAGATCTGAGGTCCGATTGCCTTCCCTTTCTACCAGTGTGAGCAAGTACACATCTAAGTGGGAGCATGGCCATGCCTGGGATAAACAGAGGGGGCTCCAGAATAGTGGGGGCCCCCTTACAAACCCACAGGCTGTAGGTGAGGTGGAGAAAACTGTCTTGGTTTAATCTAAGACTGAAGATCCTGGAAGGAAACCACTTGTTCAAAAATACAGATAATTTTTTTTTTCTGTATTGGGGCTCACTCTGCCTCGCCTCTTTCTTCTTCACCGGTTTAATGGGCTTGGGGAATTTTCCTTTGTCCTTTTTTTCCCCCTTGCTTTTTTCCCTCTTTTTTCCCTTTTAATTTTTGCATTTTTATTCTCTATATTATTTATTTCTCATTGTTTTTTTCCTATTACCTTTATCTAATTTATAAATATTTTTGTACTCCTTAATAGGATCTTTCATCTCACTTTTCTGTCCTTCTATTTCTCATGGTTTAATTTTTCAAATTTTTCTTCTGGCATTCTCCCACTCCCAACCCTCTGTATCTTTAATAACGTAATCGTTAAGCTTTATTAACCTTTAGTTAGTTAACTCTATGTTACTACTGTTGAATTCTTTTCCACCATTATTGGAGTTATTGTTATCTCATTTAGTGAGTATTTTCTGTATGTCAACATTTGGTTTGCCTTAGTGTTTATACTATAATTATATGTTTCTTTTCTAAAGTTAAGGGTAGTACATTATCAGTTCTTATGGGATGTAAATATTCAGTTTGTCTTGGACAATATTACTGTTGTTGATTTACTTGATATTGCCAGGGTTGCATAGTTGTTGTTATTAATGGGTTTTTTGTGTGTGCCAATACCCAGATTACCTTTGTGACATTAAAAATACTGTGATTCATTCCCAGAGAATTGGGTGTTGGGCCAATTACACTGCATCCTTCCTTCCCAAATTAACAGAGGTGGTTGGACCTTGCAACAGAGGCAAAAGACTAGAAAGAAACTCCCTGCTCTGTTAGCCATGGTCTGAGTGCATAATTGAAGAGCAGATTAAAGAGATCTCTGCATTAGCAGCAAACTCTTTCAACTATAAGTGACTGAAAAGCTAAGGACAAAAACAAACTATCACAAAACAATAGAAATAAGGCAACAAAATGCCTCCCCAAACTTCTAACTCCTTCAAAGCTGATCCATGAGGTATTAAGGGAGAGGAAAGCGAAAGCCTCACAGCTGAATTATTTGAAATGATAACTGAGGAGTTTAAAAAACAGATCAATAAGGTGCTCAGTGGGCTCACAGAAAATATAACTAATAAAATAATGGACTTTATAAACAAATTGATCAGGGAGCTTGCAGAAGACACTAAAAAAGGTAGCTGAACTAAACAAAATGATATAAAATGTGAATGACTCATTTAGTAGGATACTGAAGTCCAGGAAGAGGTTCCACACAAAAATCCAGGAGATTAAAAATTATATAGAATGCATGGGCAGCAAAAGTGACTAAGGTGAGGATAGAATATCAGAGTTAGAAGATAGGGATGTTTTCAAAGACCAGTTACTCAGAGATACCTTAAAAACAACAAGAAAACATGAAAAATGGATCCATCAGCTACTAGATGATGCAAGGAAAATTAATCTAAGATTAATGGAATAAATGAAAAACCAGAAGGTAGCACAATAGGCTTAAATAATCTATTTACAGAAAATAATAGAAAACTTTCCAAATATTGGGAAATAATTAAACATATAGATAAGTAGGGTATATAGAATCCCAAATAGCCATGATCAAAAGAGCATTTTTCCATGGCACATCCTAGTCAAAATCCCAGAAGTCCAGTACAGGGACAGAATCTTAAAACCTGTTAGAGAAAAGCAATGAATCACTTTTAAGATGTAGCAGACACCTCTGCCCAGTATTAGCAGGCTATGATGGCACAAGCTTCTTACCCTTCCATAATTTGGCTTTGTTACATTGGAAGTAGTCCAATCAGCTAAGTTCACTTCCAGTCAAGGTCAACTCGGCTTCAGCTAAATTCATCCCTTCAGAATTAACCGTTTGTTCTCTTCAGCAAAGATATGCTTGTGCCCTCATTTTACAGTCCTGCCTGCTTGATACTTGTTATCAACAGGTGTCCCAAGTCCTGCCCAGTTTTCCCCCTTCCCACATTTGTAATGAATAAAAACTGGATGTCCTGGGAGTTGTCTTTGCTGCCCAGAGCAGCTTAGATCAGCCCCAAGACTCAGTTTCTCTCAAGTCTCTGTCTTTGTGTTTCTTTTAATTCCCACTTTCCTATCTTGCAGATGTCACACTGGCTTGCAGGAAGCCAGGGACACCTCAGGGGTCTCTGGCAATTCCCATTACCCTTACCATATAATTGGCACCCAATGTGGGGCATGAACCCACAACCCTGAGATTAAGAGTCTCATGTTCTACTGACCCAATATGGACATGGATAAAATCCATGGGTAACTCCACCTGCAAGATAAAGTCAGGAGAATTTGCGACAACATTCAGCTCTCACAAAATAATTCCAGATGCGGATGTGGGGCCAAGTAAGCCCAGTCATGAACAATCCTTCCAATTACTGTCTTTTCTAAATACTGCTAAATATTGTCTTTTGCTAAATACTGTCTTTTGCTAAATACTGCTAAAAGCATGGATCCTCCTTATCAGAGGAGCGACACCTATATGTCCAGTGCTGCAAACCCTGTTAAATCAGGCTTCCTATATGATACCTAAAAGTACTATTGTTAATATGCAACTGGACATCTATAAATAGATCTCTTCTTTTCCTAAGGCTGGGACATTAGATGGGGAAATTTGGGAGCACATAGGAATTGCTCTCCATAATGTCCACTGGAGGGGAAATCCTCTTTCATCTCAAACTTTA